ATCAGACCCACCCGGCCACACACCTCCCATAAAATATCACATTAAGTGATATTTATAATGAGTCAAAGATATATAACAAAAAAATATTTAACTATACATTGTTATGTAGATGCATCAATAATTCTTACACATAACTTCATCATCTTATATTCTTTAATGAACTCACTTTTCATCTCATCCTCCTTAATTTAGTATTATTAACTCATTACAATTTACAATACCAAGTGCTAAATCCAATCCACGACTTGCGGTTGCCCATCTATTTCGAATTATTTCACAAAGCCACAGGTACACTGACGTCAATTTGTCCGCGAACTGAGGTACACTGCCGTGCACTAAAACTAAGATACATTCAAACGTCCTATATAGCACGTATGTCGTATATACTACCTAGGATTATCCACAAAAAAAAACTGCTCACTTGATATTTATCTAGTTACAATATATTATGCAAATTACATTTTGTCGTTGTTTTTACCGACTATTTTGAAGTACAAAAACAAACATATCATTGTAAAATCAAAACATTCATCACTCCACTCAGAATCTAAAACCAGATCAATTTTATAAAAAAATTAATTTTCGTAAAAATTCCTATTTTTGCCTAATTTTCTCTGATAAAGTACTAGAAATTTTTAGTACCAAATTGATCTAATTCACATACAAATTACAATGTTAGGACGGTATTATATTAACTGGATAAAATTTCATTATTATAATAATACTACGTACATATAGTCTATTTTAGTTGTCTTACTTGAAGCTTGTGCGGAATCTCTCTCAACAGCGTGATTACGTGAACACCATGCACAATGCACCTACCTACTTCACAACACTGTGAATGTGAATGAATTAGTACATAATATAAACGAAACAGCTTTAGGTATTTAAATACTGGTTACTGCCCTCATATATAGTCATATGTATATCTCCCCTACGGTACTCCGTTATACAGTAGACAGAGACACACTAATAATAATATTAGATAGTTGTCATTTGTTCAAAAATGCACGGTGACTGGTGAGTATATATACATTACGTTATACAGTCTGTCTGTACTCTGTACATCTAAGTTCCTACAGGTTACAACACAGTACATAATACATATTCATCACCAACTAGTAATTTATATATTAAATGTGTATACAAAGTTACAAACATTTATAAAAACAAAGGAGGATCGTAATTCGCAAGAAGCACTCAAGCTACTAAAATTATTGCTTTTATTTCTAACTATAATTTACTTAACATAGTGGGTTGGTGGCAGTGCGTACACTCAACTGCGGAAACGCGCTAAGTGTACGTAACGGCTGGCGTTGCTAGTTTCTGGATAGGTGACCACCCGGGATTTTTAGCAACGAATCCTTGCCACACATACAAAACGTGTTTTCAACAGTTCCTCCCCCTACAAGCAACCTACAAACAAACAAAAAAACCAACAGCTAATGGCCTAAGTTGCTGGGCTCAAGCTCAATAAAAAAAATAAAAATTTACTTAACAAATTTTAAATTACAACCACTTGAAAATTGTAAAAATTCTAATTTATTTGTCAAAACGTTTCTCATTTGTGTACTTTAGTAGGTAAATATAATTAAATAATAACCTCTTATTAAATTATAGTGTCAAAATAATATTTATAGTAGGTATATTGTTAAGATTAATAAATAAAATATCTGGAAACGAACAATATTAAACGTTTATATTTATTGTTTTATACATTAAATATCTATATAGTTCAAAAAAATTGTTTTAATTCAATTTATGATTTATTATATAATTAATAAATAGTTTTACAAGGTATATTATTATATAATAGATAAATATTACAATTTACAGTATAACAGTCTCAATACATACTAATGGTTTTTGTATTAAATTATAAATACTAAGGTAAGTACTTTATCTCAGTAATTTTATTTTTCTTAATTTTATCATTTTTAGGGAAATTGGGATGTAAAAATACTCCATAACAACACGTACGTAATATAAATATACAAATTACAAGGTGAGACACTGAGATATAAACTATATGAACCAGCGTTTTATTTATTTCCAAAAATAACTTAATTTTTTTTGTAACACCTATTTTTATTTTCCCAAATGTATTTTTATGGCATTTTTCATACAGTTAATACATTAAAACAAGTCAATTCTGGTAAATAAAATACTTTGATACGTTCTAAAAACAACTATAACTTAAATCAAACATAATTATTAATTGATTAAAAAAAATTAAATTAAAATGTTCACATAATAATATTTGTAGTATTTACAATACTCTATATAGGGACTGGGCAGGGTCACTATCGCCGACTCGCCAACTGTTTAAATCGAAAGTATCCGTCGACTTGTTATGAAAGCCCATCACACCGGATATATATAAAGATGATTTTCACATTCACATGAACAATTTTTGTACAATATAATATAATAGATATCTACACCAGGAGGAAATAATGTTCTTGCCAAAATGGCTAAGCGAAGAAAAAACTATACAAACATGAATTGGAGAGAAAGTTTCCGATATCAGGCAGAATTATTAAGGTCCTTATACCAAATTTATTAATCAACTTCAAACATTTTTGAACATAAAAATAAAAATGGATAGGTACCTGCATTTTATAGTTTTAGATTATATGATTAATTTTAGTTTGTGAAATGTGACATTTATGTATTTAAGATTAGGTATACGACACGCATCAAAGTATTGTCAAATATATAATAAATTCAAATAATTCGGATTTTTCTGAATATTCTAGACTAGACAATTTTATTGTATTGCATAGGTAAAATATAATATTATACATTAAAAGTTCCAAGTCCCACGAATAGTATTTTTTAATTACAATCTAAAATCGTTAATCATCTTATAAATATCTAATTTCACCCACATTTGAACTTCAAGTAACTATAAAAAAAATTATATTTATATGTTATTATAGATTATTTGGTTACAGTATGAAATACTTATGACCAACCTTGTTTTAAATTTTCAATCATTAGTCAAAAGAATTGACCAATTTGTAAATTTTTTAATTTTCTTGATTTTGACGAATTTTTTCAAAATTTAAAATTTAAATGTTTATAAAAAGAACCATGTACCTACTTTTATTATTTTTATATTTCTATAATAAAAACTTATGAGTTTTGAGGAACCTTGTATTACATTGTCAAGCTTTTCGACCCAACAAACATTTTTTTTATCGACATTTACAGAAAAATAAACTGAAAACAAAATTCAAATTTCAAATGTCTATAAATTACACAAAAAGTGTCAAAATATTATCATGTATAGAAAATTATAAAATTAATATTTAGTGAAAATGTCAAGTATCTATATGGTTATTTGATTTTAAAATACATCAAAAAATTAATTAATTAAGGAAAAATAGTAAATTAAATGGTGAACATTCAATATTGTAAAACTTTGAACTTCAAACACTTAAAAAATATAAGTGTGTGTTTGAACACCTCTTACTTAGTTTCTTTGGACATCCTCGATTCACAAAATGCGTGTGGTTCAAAATGCATATAGTAAATGCATCATACACAGATATTATATGTTCTTAATTTAATATTAGATATTATATTTAAAATATTTCATTGATTTTGTTCAAAATATTGTAATATCCAATTTAACGATTAAATTCTAGTTTATTTTGTGAATTCTGGCAACACTGAATCAGACAATCTATAAAAACCTCATAGCTTCTCTGCTATCGCCCTCCAAATTGTTAATATTTTTTTAACCGCTCAACAGCCCAGCTGCAGTTTCGTCAAATTGAACTCTAGAGGTAAGTGGACAATCATTTTTAAAACATTTTTTTCTTACCAAATAATTATTTTTATCAATTTATCATCTTTTATTTTAAATTATAATAAGATATTAGAATATTCTAATATTGAAATAACCGAAATTGTCAGCCTACATAAATATAGTTTAAATAAATAAATATCTAACTATAATTGTTGTTAACAATTTAGATAAAAAATATTATTAACCGATAGTTATAAATGTATAGTTTTCCAATAACACTCATCACTCACTGGTATACGATTCTTCACTCTCTACAAATTCCAATCTATATAGTTTTTAGGTTGGGTATCTAATTCTATTAGATAGTTTAAATTTTTGTAAGTATGTAACAAAGCGTACCTATTCCTTCACTTTTTTTTCAATTTATTCTTGAGATTTTTGTAGTACGTTTAACAAGTTTTTTCCCAGTAAATATGAGAGTGGTGATAGGTGGTCATAACGACGACAAATAAAAATATGGTAAAAGAAGGGAAAAGTAGATTTCAAAAAGTGCAGCTTCCTGTGGTTAGGTTAGGTTCCAGAGAGGGAGATGGATAAGCATTCGATAATTTTATTACAAAACTATTGACTTTTCGTGTTGGTAGTTTAGAACACACTTCGTATGAGGGGAGTGATTAGTTAGTAAGAAGTAAACATTTTCTAATAATTAACAGTCCTGTATAATTGAATATATATTTCAGTACCTATAGTTCATAATAAATTATTAAAACGTCATTATTCTACGAAAAATACGAACAAATTACAAAAACGAATCATTATTTTATTTACAACATGGTACCAAATTTTCAATACGATATAAAAAAAAAACATCACTGACATACTCCAGACGGTCGGTCCCCTCGAAATTTAATTCGATTATAATATGAGAGTAATGTCCGTATTTTTATTAACATCCGTTGTTTTGTACGATCTACGTAGGTACCCAAACAATAGTGAAATTATAGTTTGTTGGTCATATTTAATTTAAATTTTATGAATTATGATAAAATCTTGTGTTATGTTATAAAGTTTTTAAACCCTGAAGTAGTTTTAAAACACATTGACAATTGATTTTTCTAAATATTAATTTTTGATCATAATATTAATACCAGAAAATTGCAATTATATTATTGCGAATTTTATACTTTTTAAATAAATTGTGTTTTAGTGGTTATAAGCAAACATTTACTGAAAGAACTATATCATGAGTGAACATCGAGAATCATCCAAAATAGTTAGTATATTTCAAGACTTTTAAATTAATATATTTATATACCTACATACACCTATACATAAAATAAAATAAATATTTAAATCAAAATCCTTCAATATAATAACTAATAAGTAGCACATCGATCCTCATCTATCAAAATACACCAGAACATTTTTGAAAAATAAACATATATTTAATTGGCTTTAAGTTATGCAAATATTTGTATCGTGGTATCAAATATCAATATTCAATATAGTATACACCTACTATTACTTGAATAAACGGCCAATTTTTCAAATTATTATATTAATATTTATGGTGATGATCAACTATTTTTTACGTATTTAATAAAAATAGTTATACTGATCTTAATAATCTTAATAAAATCTTATACAATCTTATACACATCAATTTCTTACTGTAGGGATATATTTTAGAAAGTAATAAGTCTTATCTTAACGGAGGACGTGTGGAAACGTAAGATTTTTCTTGTATTTATTATATATTAAATTAATAAATTATCAACTAGTTTTTAAAGCTGTTTAAATAGATGTTATAAATATTTATTTCATTAAAATTCCCCTTGATACCACGACTATCATGATGTTATTTTACCTTTTGCACATTGTTGTCCTTAAAATACAATAAAATATTAAAATAATTAATAAAATTGTATTATTTAACTGATTTGTAGCCTGTTAAGGTTATTGACTTATTAAGTGACACAGTTACAAAACCAGACATCCATATGCGGCAAGCCATGTTTGAAGCAGAAGTTGGAGACGATGGCTATCGAGAAGACCCAACCGTAAATTGTACGTATTAATGTATAGTAATCACTAATTAGTTATCAGTATAGTATATAAGTGCATATAATTGTTTTAAACAATTAATCTTTGGATTAGATTTTTGGCAAGGACGCCCTCAGAAATATAAATCTGCTGGGGAGCCAAATAAAAACACCTCAGATAATAAATTTGAATTTCCATATAACAATTAATACAGATAGGTAATAGTGTAGCACTAAAAACTGTATTAGCTCAAAATACTTATGTAAAAATATAAAATAACACATCTTAAATTAAAAATAACTATATTATGTTAAAATATATAATAAATAATAATACAAGATAATTATACAAGGACTGAAGGACTAGTAGATACAAGAATAGGTAGCAAATTGAAAAATTTTCAACCAACAATCAGGATCCCATTATCATTTATCACGTGCTACCACAAATACACCATAGACCTTACTAAGTTCCTATATAGAGCCTATGAAATATACATAATTGTAATAGTTTATCATCTAATACCTAGATATTCATGCATGAATCGGTTTCATTGAGTACCACAGACATACAAAATAATAATATTGTTTTATATGTCTATGTTTAGTAACTTTTTGAGATAAATAATTATCTGGTGGACTACCTTATCAAAATTAAATTTTTGGCATCTTAAACATTAGAGAAGGTATTTCTTTAATATTCATGTATTGTGTAGGTACAGCTATCTAGATCAAGTAGATAACAGTATAGTTGAGTGGTTCTATATATATCTCCAAAAACGTGAATTTATAATTATTTCTTTTTAGCAATCACATAAGTCATGAACAACAATGATAACAACTTTAATAATGTATTTATTATTCCTAACATTTTATACGTGATATAGCATACATATACGATATACAGTGTGTTCTCGTAAATAGGGTACACTGTATAATTAAATTACCCATATTAGGTACCAATATTCTATACATATTTTTTAATTATGTTTTCGGGACATGAAACTATAGTAGGCACTAGATTTTTAGATCTCAATCTCCCGCAGACAGAATTCTGAAATATGTATAGGGTACTGAGTAATGTAGGTAACTGAGTTATAGAGATTTTTTTATACATCATTACAAGTTCAAATGTTCGTGAAATAAAATTTTTTTTATTCAAAGATATAGGTACTGTCTATAAAAAGTGCATTGAAAATAAGTATCTGCTATATGGTTATATAACTTATATAATAATAAGTTTTAGGTTTTTTTTTTAAATATTATAATTTTAAAAGAGAATTATAAGCATTATTATCTTGTATTTAAGTAAAAAACATCGAAAAAAATTCTTTGATAGAACAGAGATAACTTTGTTACCTTGAAATTTAAAATTGGTTAATTTACTCTAATATCAAAACTAATGAAACTAAATACGAACTGCTGAACATGCATTTTCCATATGCATATTTAATTATGCTTAACATTTATGAATGAATATGTGTCCACTGTCCACTTAACAATAAATACATAAACCATTTAACAATTTAAAATTATAAGTACCTAGATATTTTGTTAATTCTCCAAACGATTAATTCTTAAATAAATTATATAATCACTTTCTAAACGTCAGGTATTGAAATTAGAATATTTTTCAATCAGTTAGCCAAACCGTACTAACTAAGGTATATTATGTACTCTATTATGTAAGCCGCGACTCAAACTATAGGATATAAATTAATCCTACTCAAATACTCAATGTTATTATTTGTATATATTTAAGTGTACAACTGACTCTTTTTTTTGATAATATAGTATTGGAAAATAAATCATCAACACTTTTTGGAAAAGAAGCAGCATTATTTCTACCAAGCGGCGTCATGGGAAATTTAGTTGCAAGTAATTTGTATTCATATCAATAACATAAAAAATATTTGCAGAAGCATATATTTTACCTTTATAGTTTTTATAACTCTAAACTAGCTAACATAGTTTTGTGTTTTAAACACTTGTATATTTTATGTTGATGATATAATAACTGTGTGAAATACCCAGGTTTTTTTTCAATTGTGTCAATTATTAAAAAAAAATAGTCTGTGACAAATTTACATGTGTAATTGTCATCATTCTTGACTCACATGAATACATGATTATGAAGATCATTCTCATTTATTAATTTTGATTCTACTAATTGTATTATTATACATACAAAATTAAAAATCAAAAATTAAAGAAAACCGGTTATTTTTCAAAGTCATCTTCGGAAATTTATTCATATTTTTAATTTCTTTTTATTTATAAAAAAAGTCATTGTTTTTATAGTTACAAAATAAACATTACTAATGAAAATATCTTATACTTTAATGATACATACATATCTATGATAATACAAATATTTATTAACTATTTTAAATAGTTAATAACAATATAAGTACATTTTACTATTTTAGTGATTGTGTCAACGTACATTTGGGGTAAAGAAATCGGGATTAGTATTCAATTTTTAAATTCTTTGTTTTAACACTAAATTAAGTTAATCGTTGAGACGATAATTAAGTTCTGTTTAAAATCTAACATATTTATAAAGAAATATAAGTATATTTGAAAATTTATAAAACAGAATTACAAATGTGAAAAATAACTTGAATAGTGCGTCTATTAGCCGTGGTGGCCCGGACGCCCGGTCACCAATAAAAATAACAGGGCTTATGTTAAAATAATACTTAAATTTCAGTGATAGCTCATATGAACGATCAACGAGGATGTGAAGTGCTAGTTGGTAACAAAAGTCACATTTTACTGTGGGAACAGAGTGGAGCTGCGCAGGTTAAATTTCTATTTATTTTGGTTGTTTGTCTAGTAATATTAATGTATAGGTATTTTCATTAACCAGTTTGCAGGTTTGCAAATGCGAGAAGTTAGAAATTTACCAGATGGTTCATTAGATATGACAGAATTACGTGAAAAATTTCGGCCATCGAATCCACTTGATCACGAATCTCACACATCATTAGTTTGCATAGAAAACACCCACAACTATCTTGGTGGTGTAGTAATTCCTCTTGAGTGGCTTGATCAAGTAAAACAAACTTTTTAAGTTCCTTTTCTTATTTAAACTGCGGGTTTGTGTCTATTATATTACTTCTTCATTTTCTTTTATTTAATCAGTATCTCTACTTTTAATCGTATTAGATTTATGTCATTAGTCATAACCTATAGAGATCAGTAAAACCTATCTCAATTATTAAATGATATAACTAAGGTCTAAGGCTTTTACTAACGAACAAGAGTCGTTTACTCAAGTACTCTAACTAAAACAGAGAACTATACTTTACATGTAAACTTTTTCCATTTTTTCAATTTTAATTATGCTAATGATAATAAATGATAGTAAATAATATTAAATGTACAAATGTAAATTTATAAGTCAAATGTAGAGCAGATTTAATAACCTAAAAAATGTTCACCAAATTGAAATCTTAAATTATTTTGGACTTTTAGTATTTAGAATGCCATTGCCATTATACGCCAAAACTTAGTTAAAAGTAATACATTTCCTCAGTTAAATATTTAATATCTGCACAAATATTTACTTGAATAGCTTACATTTTACAAGGTAAGGTAAATATTTATAAAAATAACCGATAATTAAAAAATATATTATAATATGATATAATCAAACAAAATTATAATAAATTCCTGTTTAATCATTATTTGGTTTTTATTTAGCTAGGAAAATTTGTTAAGGAAAAAAACGTCCCTTTGCATATGGACGGGGCTCGAGTGTTTCACGCAGCCGTTCACTTGGGTGTCCCCGTCAGTCGAATAGCTGAACACTGTGATTCCGTGACGTTCTGTCTGAGCAAAGGACTCGGGGCACCTATTGGTGCGGTTTTGGTGGGCAACAAAATGTTTATCGAAAGGTAATGAATCCGTCTGCCATTAATTTCTAAGACCGCACCGAAAACAATATTATTATTTTTAATGTCCGTTGTCGGAGTTTAGGTGCCGAAGAATCAGAAAATCCTTGGGTGGGTCTATGCGCCAATCAGGTATCGTGGCCGCAGCTGGGGTGTACGCATTAGATAACTGCGTGGAAAGACTGGCCGTGGATCACTGGCACGCCAAGAAAATTGGACATGGTATATAATTGTGTATTTTTGTTTTATAAAATCGCATTAGTTTTTCTATTTACCACGTCAAACGCGAATAGCGGGGTACTAAAAGAATGCAGCTATAAGCACACTGAAATAGTGAAATCTAGGTCTAGCACCAAGAATATCGCATAATAGTTCAATAGTAAGTAAACACAGTATAGTAACACATCTATAATCATAATATTGTCTTCGATAATTGTATGCACGTATATTTACTATTTAGTTCAAGTTAGCAAATATTTTATAATACATGAATTTAAATACAAAAATGTAGGTAGCTATAAACACTTATTGTTTCTAATATTTTAAACTAGTCTGAAAAAAGGAGGTCACGATAAATTCTAAAAATATTATTATTTATGTACCAGGCCTTAGTTTTTATCATAATTTTTTTGTTGGCAAATCTATCTAACAACTAAGTTACAACTCACAAACATTACAACTTGTATTTTATTGGTTTAATAAGTGGATGCAAACAATTTTTTTTAAAACATTGATGTACCATGTACAACATAATGTATCATTGTGTCAATAGACAATATGTCAAGTATTGACTAGGTACTTAACAGTTTTATTAGTAAGGATTTAAAGTTTAAATGAACTTAGACAATAGACTGTGCTATATGTCTATATATACTTAGACATATGTCTTTAGATTTTATTATTTATAGACAATGTGTGTCTATGATTTAAATGAATAACCATTATGCATTATATACAGTATAGTTTATTGTACATACCTAGTGTGTTAGGAAAACGAAACACTTATTTTTTGCAGCTATCGATCAAATGGCCAGTCCTGACGTGTCTGTTAACCTGGAGAAAATCGATACCAATATATTAATTATAAAGTTAAATAATTCGGAGATCAAATCAGCTGACCTCTACAACATGCTGTTGAAGGTAAATCAGTTTATCATTGGCGTAATTTGGGAGTTAAGGGGGTGGGACATTTTCAAAATATTTAGGTTAATTTTATGTTATTGCCTATTTATACCTATCATATTACTAATTGTAAAATATATTATTATAAAAGTATATCTATGAATCTTTTTTTGTATGCAATTACTTATCATTGAATTCAAATTCAACACATCTATTACGCTATTACAGTGATCTATAATCTACTCAACAACTAAGTACACTTGACACCTACTGTACCCACGCACAGCAGAGCGTTACCTATAACTACTTGCCCGCTTTTTATTGTAACTTTGTAACAACAGACACAATAACAATAGGAGCCAACAATAAAATAACCATCTTAATGTAGGTTAGGAACCTATATTATATTATTTGTATGTTTTATATTATTTATATTATACAGGTAGACAACGAGAGTGATGATAATCTGCACAAAGTAAATTTAACGTCTGTTCGAATTTCATATTTATACGAAGGATGTGTGAGATTGGTTTTGCACAAGGACATTTCCGAGGAAGACGTGGATATGGCTATTGAAAAGATAAAATATGTAATTGGAAAAATCAGTTCATTCAATTAAATTATTTTACTTCACAGACAAAATATAATATCAAAAATAAAAGGGGAAATTAGCACATTCATGGTTGTAGGAAACAGATAGCAAGCTGACAACGGAAGATTATTTATGCTTTATGTTACATATTTATTAGTTCTTAATATGATAACATACATAGAATATAAAAATTATCAATTAAGAACGAAATCAAAAGAAATGTTCTTTTTATAAAATAGCTTGGGTTATTAATTGAATTTAATGTTAAGCGCACATTTATATTATAATCTATTATTATTTGAATGTATCTTATATAACTTTTATTATTTATTTTGATAAAAAAAATAAATATATATTTAAATGAGGTATTACCTATACAAATAAGAAACGTATAAAATCCAGGGCTAAGATTAAAAAAAATTCTTTTAATGTTATTATAAGAATTAAAATGTTTTCAACATTTTACATCCAACTTTTAAGATTCTAAGCTGAGTGATATGATTTACAATATGTATTTTATTTTGTGTCTGTCATGACATTTTGAAGTAGAAAAATTTGTTTTTTGCATGCAATGATTTATCATTGAATTCAAATTAAATACATCCTTTGCAGCGAACTACTCAATGAAAAAAAACTTGAAAATGTAATACAATGTTTCTCCTAAGCTTATATCAGTGGAAATTAAAAAAAAAAGTTGAGCTTCTGAGTTAGAAATTCATAAAAAATGTTCTATTTATATATAAGCTTTGAAAATTGATTCCCCTTAAGTGTTCTTACTCTTAACGAAAAAAAGTTTACGGGGTAATCAAATACATTTTTTACAAGCGTTTAAAGTTACACATTGGATATTCACAGTAATTAACAAATTCTCATTTAACGAATTTCTTATTTTGTTTTTATTTGAAAACTATTAACCGTAGGTAGGTACTTGAAATTATTGGAACAAGTGCAGTTTAGTTCCCCCTCTCCATTTTGAATTTTTTTTATCAAAACTTGTGTACCTCGTCGAGTTAAGAACGATGGTGCAATCAGAATTTGTCGCTCACACTTAGTTTTGAAGTTATGGCGTTCCAAAGTTTTCGATTTTACGTTAATACTCATGCCGCAACACTACTATAATGCCGCATGGAGGACCATTTTTGTTGCACCAAGTCGCCGGGCAGACTCACTCGCTCACTGCGCTCGCTCGGACAATTAAAAACAAAAATATCCCTCGATTTGCTATGAAACACCTCCCCAAGTGGACTCGATGGCCAGTTAAAATAAAATAAGTACTAAATAAATAGTGGCTCCCTTCACCTACCCGCTCCGGTCGCCAAACTCGAGGTCCTCCTGGCGGCATTATAGTAGTGTTGCGGGTATGCGTATAAAAGTAAAATCGAAAACTTTGGAAGGCCATAACTTCGAAACTAAGTGTGAGCGACAAATTCTGATTGCCTCATCGTTCTTAACTCGACGAGTTACATAAGTATCGATAAAAAAAATTCAAAATGGCGAGGGGGAACTAAACAGCAATTATACCTAGTTTTTTTGTTCTTATTTAAAAATATTGTTTGTAGGTATATGAAACTTTTTTTTTGGCAAAATTGAATTTAATCTACTGTTGGTAGGTATTAATGTCTAATAGTAAAATAAATTACTTGAATCACAATAATATCATCAAATATACCTACTTGCCACTTGGTAATATCATAGGCTGTCAGACCATTTTCACTCAGAAGCGTTGTTCGTATACAATAATGATTATACATCGTTGAGTCCAAATTTAATATCATCCATTACAGTGATCCAATTGTTTCCTACTGTACAGCTGTGCGACACCCACTTAACTGCTTTTTAAAATATGATTCATGTACTGTTTATAATTTATATTATTATCTAATGAAATGTTATAGTGCATTTACATTTTACCGGGTGGCGTCTTTTCGGTAGGGCTATAGTTTTTAGATATTCCTACTGAAGAAAGCCACTTGGGGCGCTACAATCGCGACTCATTTTTCGCTTGCCGTACTATGGTAAATATATTTACCTATATAGATTCTTATGCAATATACATAAGGACTATAATGATATTTATCACATTTCATGGAACTTTTAGTCAAAATTCATAAAAACAAAATATCGATCATTACAATATTAATCGGGAGAATAAAATCAATGGAAAGGATAATTACTAGGTATGAAATATTTTCAGTCTTAGGTACAATAAACAATTTTATTCAAAATAGTTTACTTTGGTAAACTTTTGGTACCTACCCAGTACCCACTATTTATATACATTAGAGAATACGTTATCAAATAAATATACAAATATATAATATTATATACCACTTTACTATCAACATACTTAATCGATATAATGTACATACTAAATTGTACATAGGTATCGGTTTGATGGCCCTCTTATTGGTTTCACCCCCTAAGGGGCAACGTAGCATATTTTGAGGAGTACTATTTAGGCAATTCATGTGACATATAAATTAATACTGTATCTAAGTGTGAGTAGTAAATGAACATTATTGTGCTTAATCCGTTATCGTTTCCGAGAATCACTGTCAAGTCGAGTCGGGTGACAGTGCCGGAAGCAACTCTCACAACGAGCGCTTCCCCGCAGTAAGGCATTTGGCTGGCTTATCATAATATAATAACGTTATCATAGAGTTAATCTGCGACAACAGTTAAATTTTTTCTGATCATATCTAAAAATAATAATTATAATAAAATTGGTTTTTTACGCTTAATTCAAGTATTTGAAAAAATTTCCGGAACTTCAAAAGTTATGGCAATTCAAAGTTGTCAATATTAAAAAATATAGGTACTTTTGAATGGACGAGCGAGTGACCACGCTGGGACTAAATATACTTAGAAACAATATTGAGGAAAACCGAGGTTTACCTGAGGTAGTTGACAAAGCAAATAGGGGGTTATTTTCGATTTGCGGAGCGGAGCGACGGCGCCGAGGAGCGTAGCGACGAGTGCCGATACACGCGTAATCGCTGCAACTTTGTTATGCCATAACTTGTGAGAACAGTGAGTTTCCGGAAATTTTTGTAAGTGGGAAATGGTGTAGCTGGTGGCACGCAAATTTAAAAAGTTTGAGAACCGCTGGTCTAAAGCCCTGTTCACACTATCAAATATTTGACATTCGTCAAACTCCAAATATTTTAGAACCATTTCTAAATATTGAGTTGACATACATCATAGCGCCAATTTTCAATTGTTGTAGTGTGTGTGCGTTAATATGTAAAGCACCGCTCAGATAGCGCATTCAACTTTTGTTGGGGGCATATTAAAGGAAGCAACAATATACATTTATAATTGTATGTCCTAGGTTTTCAGGGGGGACACGCCTAAGTTTGGGAGGGGCTTTAGCACCAATTTGCCGCCTATGGATCACGCACATGTCAATACATCGTGGAAAATGAAATATAGTCTTGTTTGCATGACTATAAAAAACTACTAAAAGCGGTAGTAAATTAATCATACTTCCCGAAGTTCGATTGTAATTTCGAAAAAATGGTTGAAATAATAAACTTCTAGACTCTGCATCTTAGGAAACACTTTTTTTTATTTAATATCAGATGTGCTCAAAATAAATACAAATGTAATGCAATTATTTCATGGGATTTCTAAAAAAAAAAAATGGTTATTTTAAGGTAATTTTAAATTGAAAATTGAAAATCAACTTCCTAAGAAGCCTAGATATTTTGTCAATGAATTCAAACATGTATAAAAAATTTAAATCGGACATTCCGAAGTATGTGTAATTTACCACCGCTTTTTGGGCTAAGACGTATAAAAAAATCGTGCGCTGCAATCCCCTTAATGCGATGTGTCAAAACAATAATGGCAGCGACATCTACTGTTATTATTTTGAACTTTTTTAGCATGTCTGATGTATTTCCTGCGGCCGCTGATTACTTTCATCACTACATGGCGTTGCCATATTAATTTTTGTTTTTATTTAATTTTCAGATTTTACTGATTTTAAATTGTTGTTTTTTTATTAGTTTATTACATATGAATATTTGATAATAACATTATATCAATCACTAATCAAAGTTCACCATGATGATTATATCATTTTTGCAGCCTTGAATTTTTTGTAGAAAATATTATTATTATCTAGCCTATTCATTAAAAAAAAATGTGATCCGTCTAAGTATCTACACAGAAAATTTCAAAAATTTTAAAATATTTTTACATAAATGTCATGTCTTTTCAAAACAACCTCTAAGAAAAATAATTATAGGTCCTTATTATAATTTATCGCCACTATTTTTGGAGTTTTTAATTTTTATAGTTATGAAGGACAACATACATTTCATATTCCAAAGCAGAATATTTTCTTGATTACCTATTTCAATATATACAAATTGAACGATGTGAGGGACTAATAATGTATGGGGTAGAAACCCCAGTTTCACTTAACATATTATTATCTACTTAGATATATGTTATAAGTTATAACATTATAACCAACAACCAACGAATGCAATGTTAATGTTATAATTATTGTTTGAAAAAATAGGTATTATAGATATTTATTTATATAGCTATGGCCTATGGTTAATGAACATGAAGTAGTAGAGAATTATACGCATTTTTAGATAATAAGTATAATGAATAATAATGCAAATATGAGCTATAATAACACTAAATATATATAAATCATATTTTAGCCACTTTATTTAATGACATATTTAAATGGTTAATGGAAAACTTTTCATGATTATTTCATGAAATAGTTAAAGGACATCTTTTCAAGAAAAAATTGATTTTTTAGAAGTGCCCACTCTTTATATTATTCATACCTACTAATTATGTTATATTATATTATAAAAGTATTAACATTATTCAGATCCAGTTATTAAATTATTTATTACGATTAATAACATTACAAAACATAATAACATTTTAATATTAAAATTGAATAGTTCCAGTGGCGTAGACATGATTTCTGAAAGGGGAGGGATCAAAAAAAAACACCATAGCTAAATGGGAGGAGAAAATTGGAAAATCCCCCACCCTCTCAAAACTTTTTACTATGGTAATAAAAAGCCAACAGGGGGATCTGACCCCCACGTCCCTCCCTTGTATACGCCCCTGAATAGTTCCGCTATTAAAATATCAGTGACCCACTGATTCCCGGATATCTTGAATGTGGTTCCTCGTCTAAAAACTGTTGTATAGTATAATTTAATAACTAATAGAATCATAAAAATCAAATAAATGTAATAAACAACCAATCTCTGGACTTGCGAATACCCGGAATACCTATACATGATAAAAAAATTAAAAACGATTTAATATTTTATTTTATAGCGTATTATCCAAAATATTTGTTACATATATTAATATTGTATAAATAAATAAATATATTAATATTTAATATTGTAATATACAATATTAAATATTCTAATTTTGTTTCATACTACAAAATGCTATCTTTAAATAATTATTTTGGTATATTTCTTATATAGCTATGTTGGTTGTGACTCGGGAATAGATTTCATAAATATGTTTACAAGAAAATTATATTGCGTGTGTTAGGTGTATTATAATTCAGTACAATTTGTTATTATATTAATAAGTACCTAATAAGCTATTGAAGGAGCTATAGTAATATAATATTGATTAAACCATTAAGAATGAAAAATAACTTTTTTGGTATAAATAGGAATGTTATATTTTTTCAAATAGGTAGCATAATATTTAAATTGAATTTGCTAAAATAAAATAAAATAATGTTTTAAGTATAACAATAAGTGCTAATTATTAATTTATAATATTAATGATGCAACTTATGAGACTATGAGAGAGTTAAAAGTTTAAATGAAAAGCTGATTTTAATCAATGCATTAAGAGGTATACCTATATGAGCGTCAGTTGTGGTGCTTTATACACTACTATTATATAGGTAGTAGGTAATTAATCAAAGATTACTTTTTGGAGTCTAATCATAGATATAATGTAGTCATATTATAAAAACAAATAAGATGTTATATTTAGTAACAAGTACTGACATTAATTTAAAAATTACGTTTATATAACATATTATGTTAGTTGTTACGGATTGACTTGAACATATTAGGCGGATCAAATATTGAAATATGTGGCAATTAATTTTCCAGATTTTCTATTATTTTAATATTTTCATAATATTCATACCAATTAATTATAAAAAAAAGTTTAGTAAAAGTCACATTACCATTTTATAAGTCTTTGAAATTTTGATTAAATTTGATATATATAACCTCTTTTTTCTTTTTCTTTTTCGTTTTGTCTTCTTGATCCTAACTGGATAATACGTTGTTATGGTAGTATAACTAAACTATATTATAGTGTTTGGACCATAATTATTTATATCATAAAAGTTTCCGTGTAAGAATTTAATATTGTCGCGTATATTATATTACTGTTAAACGTTATAAGACATTATGTCAAGTATTGCTGAAGAAAACTGTAATATGTCGGAAGCCGAAATTTGCTCGCCGTCCGCAGAGCAACTGTTAATGCATAAAGTTTTCGCCGACTTGAGAAACTGGTCGGCAGACTTCGTCAAGTTAGAATGTCACGGTGATTTCGCCGGGCTGAAGATTATGAGGCAATGGAGATCAATGCCAAACATATCGTCGGGATGTCGCGTTGATGTCGTATCGGTGCAGGCCAGTTGTATCCATCATGATAAATCGACGCAAACCGAGACGGTCTTGAGTGACTTAGAAATAATTCAAAATACGGTTCCACAACATCATCCTATAACAGCAATGGAGGAATTGGCCCCCGAATCAGTGAATAAACGCAATCGCCCATCTAGGTGGAAACGGACAAAGCGTTTCTTTGTCCGCTTGTTCACTCGCTAACTTCAACTTTAGCTGAACAAGCGGACGAAGAAACGCTTCGTCCGTTTCCACCTAGATGGACGATTGCGTTTATTCGCTAATTCGGGGGCCAATTCCTCAATTGCTGTTATTTGGTGGACGATCGTGTTTATTCGCTGATTTGTGAGTTCTGTATTCCTCCATGGTTGTTCTAGTATATGGTTACACCCATGAACATATAACTATGTATTTGTTTTGTATTCATATAATAAATTATTAATTACATGAACCATTTTATGTTCATTGGTTTATTTTTCAATTATATAATTACTAGCTGAATAACCCGTTAAGAATGAAAAAATAATTTTTTTGGTATTAATAGGAATGTTACATTTTTCAAAAAGTATACCTAATATTTAAATTGAATTTGCTAAAATAAAATAAAATAATGTTTTAAGTATAACAATGATTTCTAATTATTTATTTATAATATTACTGATGCAACTTATGAGACTATAAGAGAGTTAAAAGTTTAAATTAAAAGCTGATTTTACTCAATGCATTAAGAAATATAATATAGCTGTAGGTAAATACGTTTTAAAAAAAATCGTACCTATCTGATACAATTAATTTTTCATAATAATTTAATTACCTACTTCAAAATGGTAGTATTTTATATACCTACCATTATTCTAATGTCGACATTTTCTCTTAAATACAATTTTGTCCTTGTTAATTTTATAAAACTATAAAAGTTATCAAAATTGATTGAGTTATTTATATACAAATTTAATATAAACTGATTATTATCTCTTTTTACTTATAAACTATAAAGTAGGTACATGTCATGAGTGCTTACTGTATACTAGTATACTACACATTTACTAAATTGGTTTATTTTTATCATTTTAAAATGTTTTATCTTTACCTTATTACCCTAAAATTTTATCATTGTGATAGTATGGTGCAATATAGTGTTTGCGTCGTTTGACATGCATACTTATAGCCATAATGCACACATTTATTATTCAATTATGATTATAATTTATATTTTATATACCTCGAATAGACAATACAATATTATAACCCATTCTGCATTTTGACATCGATGCAAACAAAGCCAATTAATTAATATATACCAGCTTCGCCTCTCTCATGACGAGCCGCACCCGTTAAGTTATTTTCAGAATCATAGAACTTGTTTCTCTAAAGGAGTAGTTTATACTTTATAGCTAATAAATAACTGAAGCTTATATTCTTCATTTCCCCTTTTCGTGTTTGCAAAATTGCAATATCACATGTATAACTTAGTAAAAACTAAAAGCAAATCTTAAAGCAACAAAAAAAAAAAAATGTATACCAACTGAACATAGGTACGTCGAGTCGTGCAGTATAATATTTAAGTGTCAAATTAATTTTATTCTTTTTTGTTACTTAAGCAGTGGAAATTAGAAAGTCATAGGTAATATAATCATTGAACATTCTAAAGAGAAATAATCCAACGAATTTATTCGACTTCAAAAGTGTGTATTACTAACAAACTATTCCATTTCGTTTGTCACCACGATTCAACAGTATATATTATTATTATTATTATTATACATTCAATAATAAAATATTTTATTTTTTATAGCAGATAAAAATAAGTTAAATTTAAATTTGATTTTCCAAAAACTGTATAAAAATAACTATGACATAATAATAATATTAGTAAAACCACATTGTATTGTTTGGGAATTATTTATGGTGCAGCTACCATATTATAAATGTTTCTTAAAGTACATTTTTATGTACCTACGTTTTATAAAGTCGAAGAAGAAAAGCTTAATAAACAAACAATGTTTTTTTAAGTCTCATTAAAATTAATTTTTTTATTTTTGAATGAAACTTCTATTTTAAGTACATTTGTTGAAAAAATTTAATTTTTATAGTATATTTTTAAAATATAGAGTATATTTTTTTTAAAGGTAGGTATTTTATAAGAATCGATACAATTTGATTAAAATGTACCATAAACAACATCACTAAAAGAAAAACAAATTAAATAGGTGTTAATTATTTTGATTTGTCGTCTTATTTTTACTAGGTAGTAGCTGGCACCTATGTTATATTAATATTATGATGTATATTATACTATTATTATACAACTATACAAATATATATCGAAAGGTTGGTTTATTTACGAATTGCTTCAATTGCAATAACGCCCAATTACGTACATGTAAATAATACTTATAGATTATCATTTAATTATTTTTATTATGTTAAATAAAATTATTTAATAAAAAAAAATATTTAAAAACAAATTTTAAGGGTATTATTTAAAATTTTTTTTAAAGACAATTTTCTTAGTTTTTACGACATTAAAATCCACGCCCTACTTAATAAACATGCACATACTAAAATCAATACACTGAGAATAATGAATCCGTCAGTAAGAACAGATAAAGGTTACCTACATAAAATATATAATAAACTACGGGAAAACTATACTGTGAGTATTGTTAATGAGAAACATTATTTATTTATGTAAGTTTTGTAATACTATATAAAAGTTGATTAATTTGTCAGAATACTTACGGAAAAAATTTATCTAAAACGTAATAATATATTTTATTAAAAATCCATTAGTTAATACACCTCTTGAAAAAAAAAAAATCATTACCTACAACAAAATATATTTTATGGAAAAAATCTGTTATAAAAAATATTAAAATAAAATGAGTTAAAAATTAACACATATTAACCATAAAAATATACTGACATAGGTAGCTTAGAAAATAATTCATATTTATATATAAAAAAAAAATAAGGTTGGCAAGTGGGTATACCTAGGTACCTCTCTGCTGTAGGTAGAGTAGGTGTCACGTGGGTCACTGTAATGGATATGTTACATTTAAGTTCAATGATATAATATCATTGTATAAGAGTATATGACAAATGATTCTTAGTGAAAATGCCAGCCTATATCATTAAAGGCCCTTATTACAATAGTTGAACTCCGGTTAAACCACCGAATTCGGTCGGTAAAATCAGTGGTTTAAGCGTAACCATGGTTTAAACTATGAATGTAAAACTAGGTATATTAAAATATTAAGTATACATGAAATTATCTTAATAATATGTTGTTACTTTTTGATTTTGCTACTAAAATAATTTATTTTACTAAATATTATTATTACGGTATATTGATTTTGAATCTGCTAAAAATATTGTAATTATTATAATATTAAATATGAATTGATAATTAATTATTTTAACAGTGTATATTTTTATCATATAATGTAATAATATTGTTTTTAACTTTTGAGTAAATACCACCTTACTGTAGAACGGTATGAATAGTAAATACTGAATAGGTTAGTGGTATAAATAGTAAATAGCTTAGGGTGACCATACGTCCCGTATTATACGGGATTGTCCCGTTTTTCCACTTTGTGTCCCGTTGTCCCGACAAAAGTTATACGGGACGCATTTTGTCCCGTATTTTCAAGTAGGTCCCGTATTAATCCCGTTTTTCTCTTTATTGTTAATTTATAATTTTATAATTTTTTTTTTTTTTTATTCTACGATATTTTTGTATCACAATATTCAATAGAACATCTAATCTATACTTATCAGCATTATTTTTAGATTCTTGTCTTAACAATAAATTATTATAATTGCTGCGGGTTGAAAATAGAGAACTAATAATGTCACATCATTATCGACAACGTTAAACCGACGATTATAAATACTAATGATATAACGATAACGTACAAAATGTTATTAATATTATTATATTGATGTGTGACGTCATCTACTAAATAAGTACAATTCCATCCGCCACAAGTTTGTTGTAAAATATAATGTCTATTCTAAACTTCCTTGCAACAAATATTTTATCGCTTTTAAATGATTTAAAAAACAATAATACCTATGTATAATGAAAACTCATTCAAAAAAAAGTACTGATCTATTTTATAATACTTTTTTATCTTACGTAGAAACATGGGGTTGCCACTTTGACCAGTTGAAAATATTTCGCTGGGTCCAACTAATAAACTGTCCTACTTGGGAAAATGTTCAAAAATGTATTAAATTTCTTATGGAAAACAACCGAAATAATTCTAACATAAAATTAGATGAAGATAATTTATTTGATGAATTCAGTCATATAGAACAAATTTTTAAATCACGAATTCATGAATGGCAAAAAAAATCCGCTAAAGTAGAAGTTAAGTGGTGTGAAATATTTGAATACACTAGATAAAGCTCATAACATTGATACAACTAACATATCAAAAATAGTAGAATATTCTTTGGCAATTCCTGGTACAAATGCTGCAGTAGAACGGATTTTTTCAACCATTAATTTGTTGTGGACAGATGAAAAAAATCGATGTTTGGTTGAGACTATCAAATCAATTATAATCGTAAAAACACACTTTAAAAACTTATCTTGTAATGAGTTTTATAATATTCTATTAAAAGAAACTAGGTTACTTGATGAAATCGGTTCAGCACAAAAGTATACAAAAAAATCAAAAGAAGAAATTTACGTGCCATCGTCATCAAAAAATAATTTTTTTTGGACTTTAGTGTACATATTATACTTATTAATATTTTATTTGTATTTAAAAACTATTATACAGCATACATTTAATTTGTTTTTTTTTATATTAATATATTTAGTTAAATATAGAATTTCCTTTTTTTTTTAGTTAAGTAACTAAAGTGTCCCGTATTTTTATTTTATTTTTATGGTCACCCTAAAATAGCTTAAAATTAATCTAAATATTTTGATAATGTAATTTAATATTCTTAAAAGTTTCAAGTCCCCACGAATAATGTTTTTTGAATTACAACTAGATAACTAACATTCTTCTTTTAAATATCTAAATTTACTATTGAACTTCAAAAGGCTATAATAAAAAATCGAAATGTTTTTAGATTTTTGGTCTTATTATAAATTACTGACGAAAAACTTTTTTATTTAAATTTTAAGCTTTAGCTATTAAAATTAAACGTTTGATATATTTTAACTAGGAACAAAAAAAAAT